GATTGTTGCAGAATCCCAGTCTAGCATTTGACACTCAGGAAATTTCAAATTTTAAGCTTACTTTTTTAGTGATAATCTTCTATTTCACATAATGTAAGAAACAGATTTCAATGTCTGCTTTTTCTTTATGTTTGTATGGATGACTTTATATTTTCCATTTAAAGAGAAGATCTGTTAAGTTTGTACCCAGGTCCATAATTTAAATTTGTAGTCTTTAAATTCTGCAAGCCTGGAGATTGTGAAATTTAGTGTTTTTCAATTARACTTAACAAGTTAGCATATGCCAGAAAAACAAATAAAAATACCTATTTCATAGTGTATTGACCCTGAAATGCAATGAAACTGCATAAGGTGTGTGAATCAATCTGCCTAAATATTTACTGCCTTAATGAACTCTGAATTTATGGGTGTGCATATTGAAATGAGATAATTATTTTAAATAGCACCTATGTATTTTTAGCTAAAGAGACTGGGAAATTAGGTTTCCTTAGATCAACCTTAGGTTGGTTGGTATGGGCTGAGCAYGCACCACAGGCTGCTGCAGGGCAGAGGCAGCAGTAGGGAAGCAAATACCAGCCTTGTTTCCATTCTGCTGCTGTGGGATGGGGAAGGCAGGGAGGTGAATTTCACACCAACGTGAATACTTGATTGGAGTGTTCTGTAAAGTGGAATATTTGAATTTCACTGCCTGCAGCTTGTGAAGAGTAGGCTGTACCACAGAAGTGTAGGCTGAGAGGGACCTCTGGAGGTCTTCTAATCCCACCTCCCTCTCAAACCAGTGCTAATTTCTGATGTGAATAAAATTGTCCAGGCATTTGGGTGAAATAAGCTTTGTAAATCACCAAGGATGGACATTCCACAGCCTCTCTTACTTTTATTGTGAAGTATATTACTTTACAGCAGACTGGAAATTCCTTGACTGCAATTTCAGATTACTGTCTCCTGTCCTTCCTCAGTGCACCTTTGGAAAAGTTCTGTCTCTGTAAGCCCCCCTTAGGTACAGAAGACAATGGTTAGCTCTCCCCTTTTGCAATCATAAAAAAAGAAGTCTATTCCTCCACTGGGTTTTCCCCTTTGGAATATATTTATTTTGTGTTTTGTGGGGCTCAAAAGTAGTCTTGGTGTTCCAGAAGTTTCCTTGTGATGCTGAGTAGAAAGATATAAACTGTTCCTTTGTCTGGTGGCTGAGCTATTGCTAATGCAGCTGGGTACATGGTTTGTCTGCATTGCTGCAGAGAGATACTGCTGACTCATGTTCAACTTCTCCTTCAGATCATTTCCTACAGAGCAGCAGTGCAAACAGACAGCTCCCAGCCTATCAAAATGCATGAGCTTCTTCCCTCCCACATACAGGGGTATATTTGTCTCAGATACAAGAAAACTTCTGGTTATTTAGGCTTAAGTAGATTCACATCTTAAATTGCCATCTTCTTTGAGAAATAAAAAAAAAATACATCCAAACTTCAGCTGACTTAATTATAAATATTAATTTACTTTCTGCTGAGCATTTTGCATTTTTTAGAATTATAAGTACATCACTGCAAAGTGATTTTTACAGAAAAAGACATTGGTAGCAATTGGTCTGGGCTATGTGGCCATGCGATAAAAAGGGTACTTGGAGTGTGCAAACAGACTATAAATGCTCCATAACCTGCACTACTTGGTTGGAAATGTACCATGGCTCAGGCATGCTATTTTATGTAAATAATTAATTCCTCCAAAGAGTTGTTACAGGTTTCAGAAAATTAATACACTGTAGCACTATTACAAGAGCTTAGTTAATTAATTCACTGTTGCCACAGTTATCAGTGAAAGAATATTAGTATCAAGTGGATTTTTGTTTTAACTCAGCATACTCTCAGATGGATGCTTCAAATGCTGGCGATAGCCAGATTAAAGCATACATGTTCTGCTTTCTCCTCTACTTACAGACAAGACTTCTTCCTTCCTTTGTGTTTCTTAGCAAAATCCTGTTATGCATCCTCCTAGACAGCATCAGTAGAAAGTGGTGCTGCTTGGGATTCATACTAATATTGTTATCCAATAATTGAAGTAGGGATTGAAATTCCTCTATATGTGTTTTTTAAATATGATTTATCTGTATCCGTTTATATCAGCATTTATCATGACTGGACTCACATGTCCTTTGATGTAAATGAATAAAATGGCATTTGTACTTTGAAATAAGGACATGCTAATAGATGGATGAAAAAGCTAAGTGAATGTATGACAGTTTGTCACCCAGATGTTTAAAAATTGATGAGGAACAAATTCTGCCCTGTATGATCTTTCTATATGACAATTTCAACAAGGTCACAAGGCTTTCCTCTGCATATGTTGAGGGGAAATTGTTTTCATGCAGAATATTACACCTGTAAGAAATAAACAGTTTATTTACACATATAGAAGAGTTCTCAAGTCTTCCAGGAAATCTGTTTGACAACTATTTACAGTATTAGTATGCAAATTATATACTACACACTAAATGGGAATCTTGCAGCAGAGCACTCTGACAGGCATGTCTCTATTTGAGCCGTGGTAGGCCAGTTAAAAAAACAACACAAAAAGAAAACACAGCTGGATATAATTGTATCCAAACACATACTTATTATGTTAATGGGGGCATACAAATAAAATTAATGTTGTCCAGCAAAGGTTTTTCCACAAAGACTCTGAATTATTTCAGCAAAATGTTCAAATAATGCAACTTCTTGTGTTTATTTTAATTGAAAAGATGTTTGGCATTTATTCCTAAATATTGACAGATGAAATTCGGCAGCACCAGAGAAACAATAAAACCTATCTCATATCAAGGATAATTTTAATAAATATGCTTCAGTTGAGAAGAAAACATAAAGTGTGGCCCAAACTATATTAGGTACTTCCAGTCATATAATTTAAATCAAATTATGAGAATGGTATTGTTACCGTTATTGTTAACTCCCATTGTTACCCTGTCAGAATAGTTGATACACCCTTTAGCCACCTCCCCTTCTGCACTGAAGTTTCTTGATTCTTCCCTGCCTCTGCCTACCTGGGGCTGCTCTCCTGTCAGCTTCTCTTTGGTCCCACCTTGGTCCAGCCTCTCCCCTCACAGCCTCTCCTGTGTGCCCCTGCCACAGCAACTTTACATCAGCGTGGGAATTTTAAGCAGCCAGGTGTCACTGAGAATCCTCTAGGTGCTGCAGCAGGTCAGTATTGGGTAGGGCCTCTCTGCAACAGCAAAAGCTTTGCCCTTGTGTCATTTCCAAAAATTTCTCAGAATTTCTTATGTCTCTTGAATCAATCTGCACCATTCTGGCATGTAAGTTACCCAGGCAAGCTGTCCATACTATTTACTGCTGGTGGGCTTGAAAGCTTTAAAAATAAGAGCCTTCAGATGAGGTTTATGCCTTTTTTTTTTTTTTTTCCCTCTCCATTTTTAGGGCAGGCTTTTAACAAACCATAACAGAACACTGAGCAAATAACAGTTTGTGCCTTATGTAAGTGTGCCTGCTATTCAAATTGTTACATTCAAAGGCTGTAGATGTTAAAGCCCCTGTCTTCCTCAGTGCCAGCTGCTGCTGTAATCCTAAAGTAGATGTACTGTTTTTTTTAAAAAAAAACTTTATATCTCTGTATACTGCCCTGGAAATTGCTTTCTGTTTTTAAAATGACCATCATGCAGAACTTTGTATTTTTTCAACCTTTTCCTTTGTGAGATGCAAGTTATTTCTGAGTTTTAAAAGCACTATTTTTGTTCAAAAGCACAAAGGATACCTTCCCAATGCTAGCACATCAAATGCAATCTGAAGAATATTGTCTATTTTTTTTCTTAGAAATGATGAACGGTTTCTACTGCAAATGTAAGATGATCAAATGCACACTAATTTATTACTTTGAAATAGAGACTTATTTATTAATTGTAAAAAAATACTGATTTTTTTTTTTTAAAAATCAATCTGTTCAGAGTATTTTCCAGGGGCAAAGTATTAATCCTTTGTTTAATGAGAACTATTTGTTTCTTAGCTCTGCCTATAAAAGATTTTTTAAAAAATTTTATCTTTAAAAATGTACAGTCCCATCAAGCATTTTACATTATGATAGGAAGACAGAAGTTGTATCATAACTGTGATAATAAGTCCAGCTTGGCTATTGGACAAGTAAATTCAATATCCAGATAGTCCTATTAAGAAAACCCTAACCTACTTTCACAAAAAATCTGCTCCCACTAGAGAGGAGATTTTGTACTTCCACTCAGTGTCAAATGTAATCGCTCTAAATCAATAGATAAAACTCACCTGAGAGCAAAACACTTATTAACAGTTGTTTCTAGCAACAGGCAAAAATCAGATTTACAGACAGATTTTGTACTTAGAGGGAAGTGTCAAACGAAGATGAATTGGGAGAAACTAGTGTACTTGTGTGCTTTGGGATGCTACAGAGTTGTGAGAATGAACCATTGAAAACCAAATCTGATGTGTTGAGCATCATTTTATTTAGACTTCTTTTGATTAGACTTTATAAATAGACTAGTCTAAATAAATTAGACTTTATTCAGTCTTCTGGTTAGGCTGCAAAAGCCTGTTTTTTGTGTTGGTTTTTTTGGGTTTTTTTTTTGTTTTTTTTGTTTGTTTGGTTGATTGTTTGNCCCCTTTCTTTTCTGAAGAAACAACTCCTGTTTGGGTACTTTTGCATTTTGCTTTAAAAGGAAATTTGACCCAAAACCTGATGCTCCTGAAGGGAGCCTGAGGTTCAAGCTGAGGTGAATATTGCATAATTCTATTTATTTTGTCTCATTAAGTTAATCATGCTTCTTAGAGGGATAACTGGAATGTAATGAATGTCTTCCTGGCAAAACCAAAGCAGAAACCTGTGATTGGTTTTTGTTGTCTTGATAATTTATTTTATTCCAGTTTCATGGCGTGGAATTTATTTTTCAGTCTTGCTCACTGAAGAGGAGYATCTCAGTGAAGTTACTTCACAGATTCAGCGTTTTTTCTTTCTCTTTCTTTTAATAGCCTGGCTGTGTAAACACTACTGAAGTGGATATAAAAAAATCTTCAAGAATGAGAAATCCACATAAAACAAGAAAGGTAAGCACTGTTATTATATCAAAAACAGGAGGTGGACAAAATTTATATCATGAATTTCCATAGTTTCTTAAAGCGTTTTTTTCTTACAGCTGCAAGGAACAAATGTATGAACGTATGTTAATATTTCATAAGCTCTTAGTTGAATTAATATTAATAAATTTGCTAATGCTAAGTAAATGCTATCACATAAGATTTTGGAGCAATACAAAGAGTTTTTGAACATAGTATTCTTTTTTGTGTGCTTTACTAATGTTGTTTAGTAGATTGAGTGAAGTATATTAAATGGTTTCTGTCAGTAATTAAGGAAAAAAAATTGACAATTCATTGTAAACTCTGACAGCAGATCTTGTCCTGGTCTTAATTAAAAGGTTTTCTCTGTTCTACAATTGTGCCCAAAATGGATGACCGGAAATTGTGGAAGAAGTAAGCTGTATCTCAATTAGGTTGTAATTAGAGATAAACTTCTCTTGGGATGTACAGATGGATTGGCTCAACACTTTTAAATCCTTTGCACCATAACAATGTAGATTAACTCCCACTTTATAGTACTTCCTTTGAGGTACACTTGTATGTTGACCCATAGAAAAGTATGTTTTAAGAAAGCAAGTGGATTTAAAGAAAGTTTTATCTTGGCTTATTTATTGTAGTGAAAGGTCCAGATAAGTGTATTTTACCAGACAGTAATTTCAATTTTGGTAGTCATCCAAATAATCCTGGTGCTGCACTACCAGCTGTCTCCACTTAACAGGATCTCTCAGTGTCATTCCCCATGTTTACTATGATGTAAATATACAAACCTAATAGACGTAGATCCTTTGTTCTGTGGCTTTATGGAGCTGTGGAGTTTGGGAGTCTTTACTTTACACTTTAGAAAATATGATCTAACTTGGCTAAGTTCTGGAGCACAATGTACAAAACCGCGACAGTTACTACAGGTGTGTGTAGAAAGCATTGCTTGAAAGCAACAATATATCATTGTTCCATATTTTTTTGCAGTCTGTCTATGGCTTACAAAATGACATTCGGAGTCACAGCCCCACCCACACGCCAGTACCAGAGACAAAGCCACCCACGGAAGATGAACTGCACCAAGAGGTTTGGAGCATAACTACAAACACATACTTTTCAATGAACTTTATAGGAAAGTAGGTATAAAACCAAAAAATATTGTAGCTGGGAAGTTATTCTAAACAGCTTTAGCAAGCAGTTAATAAACTTTTTCCTTGTCTCAATATTTATGGGTTTAGGCATGTAGTAACTTCATTAAAACTGAGACAAAAAACTGATTTTTTTTTCTCTCTTGCATTAAACATCCAAAGGCTATGGGAATTAGGCCAGTGAGTGACTTCTTCCTATAGCTAAGGATATTAGACCTTTCAGCAGTAGACAGCCTAGTCTTCCTTTCAACACTGATTTGAGGTTTGGGAGTATACTCATTACTCCACGTATGCATCTATAGGCTCACACATTTAACTACTGTTAAAGCTTTGTTAATCTTTCCTGAGATGTTAGAATTTGGAGAAGGTAAATGTCTGAAGAAGTGTTAGTTCACTTCAAAACCYTAAAAAAAACAGCCTAATTGGATTTCTGTTGATGAACCTTTAGGGAAAATGTTATATTGGGCACATTTTTGTTTCTGTATGACCTTTTCCCTTTAATGGAAAATTCCATTTATTTCAGAACTACACTGGTGAAATGTTGTTTTAATTCAGATACATTTCTCTTCTGTGCCCTAGGATAAATTAAGGTTCAATTACAGGCCTAATAAAAAAAGTTATAGAAATAGAGTCAAGCAATAAATTACTCATAAAACTCTTTGCCTTCGTTTCTTGCAGATTAAGCACTGGCAAATGCAATTAGACAGGCATAGATTAAAAATGTCAAAAGTTGCAGAAAGGTACGTATATCATCACATTTTCTTTTTTTTTTTTCAATTAGACTGATAACTATTGGGAAAATGTCAGTATGAAACAGCTTCAAAGAGCTATTCAGAGCAAACATCTTTCAAAGAGAGACGCAGCAGCTCAGTTGTCATAGAAATAACTGAAGAGAGTTTACTTTAAGTGGAGAAGTATGAAGTTCTTTCAGTGGTAAAAGATGGCCCAATTATTCCTTGATACATTTCTGATAAACCCAAGTTCTTGAAAGAGCCTCTGACCAAGTGATCACAAGTTTCAACTTCCACTGGCAGGGAGGCTAAATGGGAATAGGTCTGGGGTTATTGTTTTGATATTTCCGAAGGGCAATCACTGATGAAGAAAGGGAACTGATTGATGTGGATCTCAGTCAGTGCTTGAACAGAGTGGGTCTGGGCTTAGTTTGGGTCAGAGGTGTAACACAAGTAGGAATCTATCTCCAGATAAGACCAAAATTTGTCAGGAAAGGGGCTAGAAGCAAATAAAACAAAAGAGCCCAACACGGCAGAAAACTGAGAAAAGGCTTAATAAAGGAAAATAAGCCAAATACAAATTGCTCTTCATCTTCTCATATGCATATGTGCATATATATCTACTTATATATGTGTGCATATATATGCAAATATATATAAATATTTATTTATAAAGAGATCAGGTTAAGGTTTTTTTTTTTGCCGAACAGTAAAAATACAATGCACACTAAGTATAATAGGAATTGAAAAGAAAGAATAGTTGTCTTCAACTAAATATAATAGGAATTGAAAAGAAAAAATAGTTGTCCTCACTTGTCAATAATTTAAAAAAAAATATGAGGACAAAGGAACCAGAAAGCATGAATAAGGACAATGGGAGATGTAAATTACCAGAATACAAACATAGTATGCAGCTGAGTCAGACCAATTCATGAATAAAAAAAAAAAGTGAAAAAAATTTGCTTTCTTTTTAAAAAATAGTGCCATTTGATTAGAAAATTATAAAAATAATTATATTTAAGAGAAAATAAAAGGAGCATTAGCAGCTGCAGGGCCAATAAATATAACCTGTGTAACATGCAGTGTTTTAGAGCAGATTTTAAAAGAACTGATAATTAAAACCACAGGGATATAAAACATGTCTCTTTATGAAAACAAATGTGCATGAAAGAGGTGGCATGATCTAATTCATTAGTGCTTAAAGGAACCTTACATAGAACTATGTGGAATAATTAGGGAAGCTTATTTTATTTCTACTCTTGGAGGACCTGAGCACCCTTCCTTCTTCAATGGTGCAATTCTAAGAGGCTTGAGCAAGGGAACTTGTTAACTGGGGTAACCTGCTCAGGTTTCCCTGCCTCCTGACATGACGATGTTTGATGCTTTTATTTTCCTAGTCTATTAGCTTATACAGAGCAGTATTTGGAATATGATCCTTTTCTTGTGCCCCCTGATCCCTCAAACCCTTGGATATCAGATGACACCACTTTCTGGGAACTGGAGGCAAGGTATACAATTTTATTTCTTCTTTGGAAGTAAGGGGGTATAATGTGCTTTTCTGGAAATGTGAAGATTTCAGACAAAGGTATTGCAGGAAAATGCTGAGGTAGAAGGCCATTGGGGTACCCTTTTTGTCTTCCCAGTTTTACAGTTTCTCAAGATGTGAAGTGCAATGGATCAATAAATTTTTGTGAAACGTTACAGTAACTGGTTTCCAGGTTTTAGTATGGTGAAAACAAAAAAAAAACAAAAAAAAAAAAACAAAAAACAAAAAACAAAAAACAAAAAACAAAAAACAACAAAAAAAATAAAAACAAAAAAAGAAAGACAGCATTTAAAATCTGATAACATTCCTGGTTGGAAATCTTTATTCTTCTGTGTATTACCTTCATCCTATGTAAATACTTACAGTCTGTTTGCTCATTGCTGAAAACTGCGCAGATACAAACAATCTAAAAAGTGAGGAAATTATATAATTTTACAACTTAGTCTAAATTATGAACACAGAGTATTAGAATACTGTACTATTGCTCACTTCAGGTTCTGTTGTTTTTTCTTCTGTAGCAAGGAGCCAGGACAGCAGAGGGTGAAACGATGGGGGTTTGGCATGGATGAAGCTTTGAAAGACCCTGTGGGAAGAGAGCAGTTTCTGAAATTCTTGGAGTCGGAATTCAGTTCAGAAAATTTAAGGTAAATGAAAAGTACTTTATTTTTTAATAGTTAAAAGATACATTGGTCTTTTGCTTTGGGGTTTGTTTTTTTTTTTTTCCTGATACTTTTCATTTCTTGATCCCATCAAAAATTTTCCTTACCTTTCAGAATTAATTCATCCAGATTGCTGCCTGCTTTCATATAGAGGCTGAGGGAAAGATTCATATAGTTAGAAGGGACTCATATGAACCATATTTTGCCATTCATACCCAACATTTTGGTCAAACTACTCATATAAGAACTTTTCTCTCAGCTTGTCTTGTGAAACAGGTATAAAACATTGACTTATTCAAAGCCTGTTCAATATCTTTTATTGAGTCAAATATTATGAGATAAATAAAAAGAAAATTAAAAAGTTAAAAATTAAATAAAGGATCTAAGAGTAACAATCACAGACTTACTGTTGATCAGGTTTCTCATATTGTTTTGAAAATCTCCAACAATATTCTCATACTTTTGGATTTGACACAACTGAAGTAGGGTGACATTCAGCTCTCAGATTCCTTACTAACTGCAAAATGGAAGAGTGTTCCTAGTGTATGAAGCATAGAGGGTATTTTTTAAAAAGCATATTTTCAGAATTTTAAGTGAGAAAAATTATTTTATTTTAAAAAAATGATAGTCCATCCATTGGCTAGGAACATGTTTTGGTTTTGCTGTTCTTAGAAAGTCATATTTCAGTAAGAATTATTTCAGAGGGATTCATAACAGCATTCCTATTAGGTTGAACATAGTGAAAAAATTTAGGCAACATATTTTTCTTTTCCTTAATTCTAACTTCTTGTCAGATGTCATCTGTATCACTTTGCATTCACCAATAACATAAGTAGTATAAAATCCTATTTTCATTTGCATTCTGGAACTCAGAATAATCCTAACCTACTTCTTTCCTTTGCCAGTTCTCACTCTGAAGCAGCCTTTCATACTAAAATTATGCTTTTGTAGCATCTTAAAAGAGGCATTTAATATTTATGGTTATAACTGCTGAGCAATTGCACAGATCTCTTTATTGTTAATTTTAATTTGTCAGCAGAATAATTGTAGTTGGAGGTCTGTAAGTTGCTGATAACGTTCATATTCAAGTACTAATTTTACATCACAAATACAGCCTGACCTGTATGTGTAGGTTGATGACTTTATTCGTCACAGATACAGATTTTTCTTGTTAAAACATCTAGTTGGTAAAATTAATTTTCAAAAATCAGAATAATACCAAGAAAAAGAAACGTAATCAAAAAAAATATTATTTAAAGCCCATCCTGGTAGTTTGTTATGCTGAGCAGCTGTTCAAACATGAACCTATTGAGTCCAGTGTGTGCTGCAGTTTCTGGTGGTTTTCTGTGATTAATTTGTCTCTCTGCCAGCTAGACTGTTACCCACTGAATCCCTAACTCTTTCATCTAAACCACAGGCAAACAGCAAATGACTGATCCAGAAAAATTCCCTCAAGAAATTTCTTCAGAGAAAGTTCCTTGACATGCCATCTATTCTTCTGTTTTCTACCTCTAAATTCTTATATTGGAATTGCAAAATATAATATCTGAGTAATGGTGAATGTGATCTTAAAAGCCAGCAGGGGATAAATTTGCTCTGAAAAGGTGCTTTCTGATAAATAACTGAAAGGAAACTGTCTCAGAAGCTCAGAATTATGCTTGTAAACTCTCAAGCTGTAGGGAAATCAATGCACCATTAGGTTCACAAAGTAAAGTTGGGTTAGAAAACATGAATTTGTAAAGGTTATTGTGTATGGCTGTCAAAATATTTTAGAAGCCAATAACAGAAATCAAAAGCTTGATAATTTCAAACATTACCACTGAAAAAACTTAGAAGACCAGCACTTTCTTTGCTCACCTGTTAATTCCACTGTGGTAATTTGGGGTTTTCTGAGTGGTATTTTTAAATTATTATTATTATTATTATTATTATTATTATTATTATTATTATTATTATTATTATTATTATTATTATTATTAATATTATTATTATTTTGACAGTCACCTTGAGAAAAAAAAAAAAATTACCTTCCACATCTTCCCACTGCAAAAAATTCAACTCAAATCACTTGCTGGTTCTTATGCTTTAACAGATGTAATCATGATCAAATTTACAACACTGCCAAGCCTATAGTTGGACAGACAGCTGGGACCCTGCATTCAAGCTTTCAAGCAGAATACACAGGATGCAGCAGGGACTGCAGGCCTGACAGGAGCTTCAGCATCAGTAGATTAGATGTCTGATACCTCATTTTGGTGAAAAAAACACCAAAAACATGGAATGATAAGTCTACCAGATACACCATTTCCATTCAAGTGCAATTATCTTGCATTGCAAAAAGTGCCAGTCTTACTGTTTCATTAACTTCGACTGAGCATGTCTGAGCTGTCTGAGGTATCATTCTTGGTGGATACAGATCCTGTCCTAGAGAACATAAAGGGGATGATGGAACTTGAACTGTGATTTAATACTAAGAATTATGCAATGATCAGGAGCACAACCAGGTTTCTCCTTCGTACTTTGTATCTCAGTGCTTTCTTCTTTGCCTGTAAACTGGGCTTAATAGTATTTCACTCTCTAAAGGAGTGTGGTAAAGCATAGAAAAGGAATAAAACTGTCTGAGCAGTTCTGTCAGTGCAGCAGCTTCATTACAGTGTGACTGCAGTTTGCAGTTTGGATTCTGCTCTCACCTGTGACTTGTGATCTCTTGCTACTGTGCAGATTTCTTGGAAGAATTGCTTTGTCTGCTGCTCAATAGGCAGAACAAATAGCTAAAGTAACATATGATTTGGATAATGGATTTATGAAATTCCCTCTGCCTATTGCAAAAATGGTGACCATTGTTTAAAGTTCACAAGGCTAAAATTTGAGCATGATCCAGTACTATTGAGCTTCATCACAAGGCTGTCCAAGTACTAAAAAAAGGACATTTCAAAGAGAGTGAGGTTATGAAATCAATCTTACTGTAACATGGCATCCAGAGACCCAATTTCTTTAATTCCTGTAGGAAGTTGAATTCCTCTTCTTATCTTTCTGTAATGCAGCAGAATTCTTTGGAAAGTTAATATATGTATGCTGACGGCAGGCTTGCTCCCAAGTGGTTCTTTTGTAAGAATTGCAGCCTGTAAAGATTAAATAATTTCAGACCTGCCCATCTGAAAGCCTGTCCAAATCATTGTGCATTATTGTAGTGTGTGTGATCTCCAAAGCAGTTCTAGGACTCCAAAGACCTACTAGGCTAGTGAAGGGAGAGTGGTGACAGGTTAGCTTCCATGGTACACAGAAGAAAAGCCACTGGACCTCTTGCCCCTTCCTTTGATGCTCATTTATTAGCTCTGTAATGTGTGACTAAATAAGGAAAAGGAACTTTGCATTCTTGTTCAGAAAAAGAAGAAAGAGACTGAGAAGTATGCTAGATTTGGATGTTTTCCCTCAATAATTTGTGTCTAAGCATCTCCCTGCAAGCTGAGATTTTGTGAGATGTTTATTTTTATCCTTTACACTGGCACTAAGGATGCCCTGTTTTGGGTGCTAATGTGACCAAAATTTAATCCTGAAAGCTGAAATTGCCTGTGCCTATTTTCTCATTGAGACTCAAACTCAAATGTGAAGYCCCAACAATGTCGGCATTTCTGCACAGCAGATGAGAAGGAACTAGTTGCAAGATTTGATGAGTTTCTCTGTCATATTTTGAAGTCCTTCAGTTCAACTATGCCTTGAAGCTTGAAGTTGTAGTTGGCAAGAAGGGGGGCTCTCAAAATCAGAGCGCAGCCTTTCCTCCCCGAGAAAAAATATTATGTGATTTTATTCATGGAGTTTGTTTAGGTTTTTGTTTGCTTTTTCTGAAAATGCTGAAAGGTTTGGCCTCTGACTTGTATCACATGCACTGAGTGCAAAGTCCACACAATTCCCACTTCACTGTTTCCACACCGACTACACCTCATACATTTCATGGAGAGCCACCGCAGCTTTGTTCCTGTGGGCTAAATTTAACTGATTAGCTTGGTCTGGGATCTGGCTGCCCTTGGCATGTAGGTCAGCTACTGGGACAGAAGCTGTGCTGCAGCTTTGCTATTTATCCAGGAAGCTGCCATGGCTTTGAAAGTAACCCAGCTGGAGGACATAATCCCTCATGGGTGTCTTGCAACCCATGTCTCAGCACTCCACGTGGCTGGATGTGCTTCTCCCACACACAGCACACCCTCACTCTGCTGTGTGTCTGCTGAGTGATCCAGGACAGCAGAGGAGTTTGCACCCAGCTCCTCATCTCTTGGTTCAAACAGTGCTGAGCATTCTCTAGAGAGGGTCTCCATGGCAAAAGCAAACCTCCACCAACAGGAGGTACAGTTTCATCCAAGGGCAGCCAGGCTGAACTCCAGTTCCTTACACATAGTGGCACTAAGTCTATGTATCTAATTGTCCAGAAAATGCAGTTCCCCTCTCCCCTCTCCTGCTGTTGCATATATTTAGTGTTGCAGACTGTGTACTGTTCACTACAGGAGTCTTCCCTCGCTCTGGTCACAGCCCAGTGAGGCAGAGAGCTGTAAAAGGGTACAGGGAGCTCCTGATTTGAGGCCCCATGCTGAGCTCTTGGTGACTTCATTTCAACTTTGTCTGTGCCATTGGTTGCCATGGGATATTGGAAAAAGTTATTTTTGAAAATGCAAGAGGGGTCAGTCTTATTTTTGTCATTTCCTAACTTTGAAGATTTGAATTCAACTCTCTGTGGGAGGAGGGCAGGCATCTTTTCTTAAAAGATAAGTAAGAAGATTAAAATCTTAAAATGTGTGTTGGCTRTGAAATAAGCAACCAAGACATAACAACACAGAAATCATAATTCTTCCCACTTTTAGAAAGGTTTCTATATTTAGAACTTCACATTTTAAATAGAGTATTTGAATTCTATTGTTAGAAGGGTACGATTAAATTAATCTGTCAAAGAAGTGGTGTTCAGCCGGTAAGAATAGTTCTGTGCAACCCACCTATTCTATGCTGCAAGCATAGAAGTTAAAATTATTAAAAAAAAATATCTCCCATCTATTTCTCCATAACAGAGTATGACCTACTCTATGAAAATAGTTTACTTGCAAAAGAAAAGAGCATGCTTGTGGTGACTTCCAGAAGTACTGGCAGTGATCCGATGGAACAAATAAGGAAGTGACATCTTTAAGCTGAGATTTGCAGGGTGTCTGCAGGGAGATAGAAAATGTGTGTTTACAAAGAGCATCCTTCCTTTTAATTTTTGTATTCCTTACCTGACTTGGAGACATATGAGTAATCAGTCAATCCCTCACTTSAAGGGGTTAGCACTGCAGGATATGTGCTTTTAAATGCAAATATTGAAAGCAGCTTAAGGAAACCAAAGTAGGTTGCCCAAATTCGAGAGTGTGAACTAAATTAGTTTGTCAGCTCTGCAGTTTCTAAAGTTGAGTTATGAGTTTTGCTGGACTGCCATTAGATTCTCGGGATGTGGCCCCAGGCCCTGTACAGAACTATGTTCAWTTCACACTGTAGATGCTACCCAGAATTTTTGAAACTGAGTTCTGTTGGCACTGACCCCCTTTGTGACCTTGGAGAAACCACTGTACATTATTAATTAATTTGCAAAAATGGGACAATATTGCTTCTCTGTCTCTTTGAGAAGCTTAGATGAAAAAATTGTGCTTAGATACTATTGAAATTGAAGGTTGTAGAAATACCTAAAATAATCTTCTCATACCGGCTTGTGAAAATCAAGCACAGGCTCCTTCCATCTGTGCTACAAAAAATTTCAAAACAACACTATGAAGAAATAATTGCTTCCTGAAAGGAAAATTTTCTCATGTGAAGAGTATCGTATAAATGGGAATACTGTAATATTTGCTATGCTTTACCATCCTCTGTTAAGAATTTTTGCAGTAATTAAATTAGAATTTGGGTTGAGGGTGGTACAGTTTTGCTTACTTGGGGGTCTGAGTATAGTTTCACTGTTCCTCTCTCCTATCCAGTCCTTGCTGAATTCAGATAAAAGAGCTTACATTGATCTCACAGTGTAAGCAGAGTGGAACCACATAATAAAGGTGCACCCAATTTATTTGTAAGCCTTGAAAAATCCATCTGTTTCAGAGTTAAATCACTTCAAGGCTCAGCTTATCTGTTTCATAGAATCAGACGTGTCAGAACAATAATTAAAAGTTGCACTGCTATATATTGCATGATAAACATAGTCAAACTTTAGTTGAGCTCTTGGATTTGGGAGAGAACTAAGTGGTCTGAACCATGTCTAAGAATGGGATCTTAAATGAATTTAGGATTATTTTGAATAATCATGAGAGAGTCTGAGCATGAATAGAAGAAATAATGAAATAAAGCTAGTTAGCTATGATTATGAAGTGCTCAAGACTTTTTAGTGATGTGACTCCAGACTGAATGAGGATAAAATGAACTGGCTGCATTGCATATGGCTGCCTGGTGTTGGTCTGCTCAGCAGCAGAAGAGAGAATGTGTGATTTCATCAAGCATTTTTAGCAAAAATATGCACAGAAATGGAATGTTGGAAAAAGAAATTAAATTATAATTAGCCAACCAAATGCTTTTCCAATGTATGCATGATTTGTGGCTGACAAAATTAGTTGCACAGTTTAGAATTTAGAAGGACTCAGAGATTGATGTAGGTAGTGAGAGTATAAATTATTAGTTTTTGAAGGAATGTCAAAAAGCAGTCAGTTTCTAAGTAATACAAGCCCTTGTGATTCAGCCAAGATGAAGTCTCAGTTTAATTCCAGCTAAATGGAAATCTCCCTGTAAGCATATTACCYATACATAAGTAATGAAGAATTTCCTCCCTGTCTCGTGGAGAGTCTTCTAATAATTGCTTCTAAAGGTGGATTGATTGCCTTGAGACAGTATATCAGAATGCTGATCCCAAAGTAAAATCACTCAGCTTTTGCTTATTTTAGCATTTTTTGGTGAAACATTGTTACTTAATTTCTTCTTTGAGAGCAAGAAAGAATGTGGGCACCTCATTAGTGATACTCCTGAAGGTGCTGTGTTGTGCCACAGGTTCTGGTTAGCTGTGGAAGACCTGAAGAAGAGGCCTATCCGTGAAGTTCCTGCCCGCGTCCAAGAAATCTGGCAAGAGTTCCTTGCTCCGGGTGCACCCAGCGCTATCAACGTGGATTCAAAAAGTTATGACAAAACCACTCAGAATGTGAAGGAACCTGGGAGATACACATTTGAAGATGCTCAGGTCAGTTTGCAATCGTGCTTGTGGACTTTTGAAATGGGATGTTGGCTAGTGAAATCTATACACAAAAATGAGATGTATTTGGGAATTAAATGATAATTCCCTCTTTCCTAAAATGCCATTTTGGCAATGCAAATGTATAACATTCTTTCTTTAATGAGAATGTGAAGTTCTTCATGAAACTTCTATTCTTGGTATAGAGAATTCAAGCGGACTTTGAATAGAGGAGAGCATGTAGGGAAGGAATAATTAAGTACTTCTGTATTAAATGCAACACTTCATTTGACTTATAACTTAATATTTCATCTCTGCAGACTTCTGAGAAAAGCAACAGAAAATAATTGGATTCACAGTAAAAGTAGCAGAACTGGTATCATCCTCTATTTTCATCAGCAGCCCTGTGATGAAAATTTAATTATTAATGCAAAGTGAAATGGTGTCAAAAGGAGACATTGAGATCATGTCCCTGCAGAATTTCATACAGCTTGATTATTAGGTCATTGTGGGAGTCAGGAGATACTTTTACAGGCCCCTCATAGGAGAGAAGGGAATCGAATTGAGGCTTCCTACTCTTTGGGAGAATGCCTCTGCCCTAAATATGAAGGGGAATAATTTTACCTCCTTTTCATTTTTCTATTATGAGAATATCAGCAAATGAAGAAACAACAAAATTTTCATAAGACCCTGTGTCATACCCCCTGTTTTGAAATACTCTACATTAAAGAAACATGCAATTTTTGCTTGCATCTGCTGACCCCTGAAGATTTAAGAATGCTGTGTACAGCAAAAACATAAGTTACACAAATAAACAATCTAGCAAGATTAAAGTTTTAAAAAGATATGTCTTTGCAGTTATATTGAGGACAATTAAATTCCTTGCCAGTATCCAATCTATATTTTCTTAATAAGTGTAAAATTTCAATACCCTTTTACTTCCAGATCTCTCTTCTTGTAATTTTGTCCTTCATTTATGAAAGACATGGAATGTTCAGTCTTTATGCAAGCAGGATTTTTCCTCCTGGAGAGGACCTCTGCTTTATTTATCCAGTTCAGCAAAAAGCCTTAACCCTGGAAGCTTCAGTTTCTCTGGAAAAGGGACAGGCTGAACCTGCCAAGTTCTCAATTGAAGCTCTGGGACCTTTAAAGTGTCTCATCTGAGGCAGAGGGTTCTCTCAAGAGTAGGGCTCTGCCTCTGCAACAGGTGCTTTTTGGCCTGCCAGCTGGGAAAGAGCCGACTTACATGCAATTCTGGCCTTTGGTGAGCCATTTAATTGTGGTTAAAAATGTATGAAAAGCATTTCTGAACTGGAAATAAAGAAAGATAAAACTCCATGTCAAAAGCAGACACATAAGTAAAATGGGACACATAAGTAAAAATAGTCTGCGCTAAATGTGTACATTAACGTGTATCCTGGCTAATGTGTACATTAATAATACTAATACAGCCTAATTTATTCTTGCTTTTACAGGCATAGTTCTTGTACAGAAATAAAATTTTAATGCCTATTGCCACTTTCTGCTCTGTGTTGACTGCATTGTCTGCTTTCACAGAGACTGAGTGGTAAATAAACCAGTCTAAAATCTGAGTTCTGAATATATACCAGAATTTCTCTGCTTAGTGTGCAATACAAAGACATTTAGAATAATKTTTAGCGTTTCTAATACAGCAAAAGTTAAAAATCAGGTTTAATTTTGGCTTGCCTTAATTTTCAGAAAAGGTAGGGTTTTTTCTTTTGGTGGTTTTTGTTGTTTTTTGTTGTTGTTGTTTTGTTTTGGTTTTTTGGAGGTTTTTTTTGTTGTTTTGTTTTGTTTGGTTGGTTTTGGGGTTTTTTTTTCAGTTTTATCATATTCACCAATTTTATGCACTATCAAGATGAGAAACAGTATTTACTTTCCGGTTTGTTTGCTGTTTCCCAAGTGCTCAGCTACAGATTTCTTATTGTGAAAAATTGAGTTTGAGTAAAAGAAAAATTCCACAAAAATAGCTAACAAAATTCAGGATTTTTAAAAAACTTTTTGAGACCATTTCCTATTCTGTTTGCTTTTTCTACAAATCTTTTCTCTAGCATATAATTATCAAGTGTACTACATGAGATATTTTTGTTTTTACCTTTTTCAGAATGCTCCAAAATTAAATATTTTAAGCTGCTCTCATATTTTTTTCCTGAATAAAGGTTTCCAAATTTTCATACGCCTCTGAAGAATTAATATCTTGAAAATTAGATTAGCTTGGAACTRTTTTTCAATTTACATATTTCAATATACGTATTTTCCTTTTTATGTTGTTAGCTGGAGAGTAGAGTCTGTCAAGGGATGTTTTTAAGAGGAAATCCTCTCTAACCTAAGCAATATTATGTGGTGCTGAATTGAAAGCCTAGTACCTCTTCCCAGCCTCTAAAATCACAAGACTATCTCCAAAAAGTAATTCAGAAAGTCTGGTGAGGAAGGACCCATAGCTCTAATTTCATCACTTAGCTAAGCTAACCAATGTAAGGGAGGTTTGGAGTTGGGCCTGAAGCTAGGACTCAGCTGTCAATTTTTAGATAATAATATTGTGCAGATAATATTGTATAGAGCAATAATTTGGTCTATAAATTAAAGAAAGGTGTGTTGTGTAATCATACATAAGAAGTGGGTGGGATTTCTGCTTTAAGAACAGAAAGCAATTCAGCCTTGGCTTCAGAACTGAAACCTGCTATCCTGTAATATTTCCTATTCACAGTAGTGCTGGCTGGCATGCATTCCACAGCTAAAACCTGTCACTGCCCCCCATCTTACACATGTCCTTTTCCTGGGAGTAATAGCTCCCCTTTTCCTTTTCAGGAGCACATTTACAAACTGATGAAAAGTGATTCTTATCCTCGTTTTATACGATCCAGTGCCTACCAGGAGCTGCTACAGGCCAAGAAAAAGGTATTGGTCCATCTTGCCTTTGTCTTGCCACTGTGCAAAGCAGTGGTTATGTTTGCAACAATACTCAGTCTTCTCTCCCCTGTGCCAGTGCAACTGGATATCTGGTAGGTGACCAGCTTGGCGTTTTTGGAGGGTCACATACACACAGGAGTTCGATATACATATATGTGTATATATCCTGCATGCGGGCATGTTTCAATAAGTTAATCTAGCAAAACTTATTTTTATTTTTACATCCCATATTGTACTGTTTTCTCTGTTATGAAGCACCTTAAATTGCAAAGTGCTTTACAAATACATTAAAAAAATAAAATAAAATCCCAGAAGAATAGTCTTTTATGTTTGCAAGTTTGCTTATGTAATAATTGTTGTTCTCTTTATTCCACCTATGAAAGCTACAGAATGTGTTTAGAAACAATCTTATTCGTATGAMTAGCTTCTAATTTCAACTATAAATATAGGGGCTTCCTAATTTTGTTTCTTTCCCTATTAAACACTAACAGTTTTGAGTAGGCTAGGAATCTGACTTGAAAGACTGATCATATCACACTTTGGCAAGTAGAGGTTCATGTCGTGGTATGTAATACTGGCCTAGAAAAGTCCAGATTATGGAATGGGTTCTGAATGTCCACAGCCCAGAGTACATGGAACAGCTTGTACAATGCAGATTACCAGGGTGATAAATTATTCTGTTAGTGGGCTCTAATCAGTAATCTCCTAGATTCAGCTGGAAGCCCTGTGCCTTGCAAAATCAGGGCCCCGATTGTTACTGGAACAAGATAGTTATTAACACCATAGCATTCTATTGTTCATAATGACAACCTAAAATTATATGAAAGTGCTGTATGATTTTGTTTTTTGTTCAAACATTGATTTCTGAAGATCCGATATAGGGAGAGATGTTGAAAATACCAGAAAGCTTCAACTGTCCGTATGAAGTCCTTAAGTTTGTGAATGTCAGTTCATTAACACAAGATGTGCACTTCATTATTTCTTTTTACTTTCAGTTTTTCTTTAAATTCAAACCAGTTTGATCCCCATGAAAAAATTATTTTTGTCTTGTACTATATCTGCTTTGCTCATCCCCTGTTTTGCCAAGTCCCATTACAGCCTCATACCTGTGTTTGCTTCCTGATTTATACAAACTTTGTTTTGCAGTCCATTGTTTCATCAAACCTTCTTTTCTACTCCATTGTTCTTGCTTTTCTTTTCCCCCTCCTTTTTCTTTTTGTTTCTTTTGTTTTTATTAATTTCAAATTTAAGTTGGAAAACACTCTGGATCGTCGAACATCTTTTGAGAAATTCACACGCAATGTGGTAAGTTTGTTGCCTCGGAAGACTAGTAAGCCTGATGGAACATCCTTCTTCCCTTCCCCTCACTGATCCCTTCTTTCCCTTTTGCTTCTCTGGCCTGATGGTTAAAAGTGTACTCATCATAGCTTGTGAATTTTCCTGGGAATGACAGCTTTAGATGTGCTTTCATTACAACCTCTCCTCCCTCGTCCCTGTCCCACTGATCTCAATAGTCACACATGTAGGAATCGACCTTAGGGAGCCATGATTTTGCATTAGGAAGCATGAAATTAGTAATTTCCCCCCCTATAATTTTAGTAAAGAATCTGTAAAAACATGCTTGATGTTAATTTTCTGGTGCCTTCTGAAATACTAAGTCGAAAGCAGTTGAATACATTGGATTTTCCATCCTGTCTTCTTTTTATTTTACTAAAAAAGACTTTGTCCCCGAATTTTTAATTTGGCACAGGGAAAAATAAACTATAATAATTTCCCCACCTCCCTTAATGTCTAACACAGCTTCTGCAGGACCAAAGAATTCATGCTGTTTATGTGCAAGGATTTGATTTGGATTCATTTTCATAATGGACTACAAGAACTGATTTTTTTCTTTTCAATGTATAACTTTCAAAAGCTTATTTCTCCCAGGTAAAGAAAAAAAAAAAAAAAAAGAAGGCTGGTAGATTTTGTGTGGACATTCATTTTCCACCTGCCAAAAGATCCACTGATTTAATGATATTTGGGATTCTTTTTACTTACCCGGTTTCTTTGGAATTATTTTTTACATTGTGAAAATTCAAACTAAAGAATTCAACGCATTTATTTTTGTAGGGCAGAAACACCCCTATTTTTCCATGCCATAAAAACTGTACACCAACACTGAGGGCGAGCACTAACCTGTTATGAAAAGAGGTAGAAAGATCTTGGATTATACTTAAGTTTGTCTGCATTGTCTGTTGTGCAGGTGACGCTGCTGTGTGTGTGCGCGTGTGCATCTGTGGCTTTTTCTGTGACCTGGTTAGTGGAGCTGTGTGTGTTGAAATGAAAAATATGAGAGCTTTCAGCAAAGATCATGGTTTTTGTTTTTTTTTTAGTTTCTAGGGAAGGAGAAGCAGTTGTCAGAAACTGTCTCCCCTTTAATGAGGCTCACAAGTATTCATTGCCTCAAGTATTAAAAAAATTACATATATTGTTTCCAGTAATCRGAAAAAGAAACAAACACATTAAAGTTTTGTGAGGCTGTGGGATTATCTCACATTTTAAAACAAAATGGTAATTCTTTAACTACTTTCTTATAGGTAAAGGCTTCCTGTAATATGCTTTGAATCCACTGTAATCAGGAAGAAATTTGGATTCAATGGGACAAAGTCAGTAAAGGACACTAAAAGTAAATAAACAACCACAAAGGAAACTATCCCAATGTTTGAAACAAAAACCCCTATGTTTTGCATGGTGGTGTTGCCATAGCATGTTGCAGTGTGATTTGTGTGTTGTGTAAACAGGTTGGATCTATAAAACAACATTGTATATGATGGCATTATACGTGGTAACTCCCTTATAATTCAGTAGGAAGTTCCATGTGAATAAAAAAATCTGTGAAAGAGAGTGCATAGAGTGGGTAATACATTGGGGCCTCTGAGAGCTGGACTTTCTCCCAGTCACAGTGCCTGGCAAGCTTCCGTGTGCACATATTTCAAAGTGCCACATTCGTTCCTGGCAATTTGAGCAGCTCGTAGGTCAGGAATTGGCTCTGGTAACATAACRTAAACAGGTGGCCATGAGCAGAGAAGGAGCTGCAGGTAGATGGGACAGAAGCATAGCACAAAACGGGGAAATGTGCGGGCGGGACCATGAGAYGCTCAAGTCAGTCCCAGTGCAGCATTACAGATAAAACAACAGTTCTGGGCACAATCAATGCAGCCGTGCCTGATTTTCATCCTGCTAATCTCAGGGCAGAAATACCTGAATAGCAGGATGATAGAGATGCAAGGCAGGCCCAATAAACCAGCTGTGAACTCAAAATGGAAAAGAGGATTTCTGGACATTAGTACTTCGATAGAAGAGGGGGATCTTCTTTTTCTTTTTCTCCACAGAGCAAGTCCTGAAATAAAATCTGTGGTTTTGCTTGTTTTTCCAACTATTACCTGTTAATCTGGGTGGAGTCTGTCAGGTCAGGTATCAAAGAAAAGCATGTCACTAGTAGATCTATATACTCTATCAGACTGACAGATCTGAGGCTTGCAAACAAATCCAGAATATCAGGATGCTCAAATGAAAAACATTTTTCCAAGGTGACAACATTTTTCCAAGGAATTTATGTCACCCACTTCCTCAGGATCCCTTTGCCCCAGGCATCCTTGTTCTTCCACTCTTATTTTTGGTTGTGATGGGTTTATAATATGTAATTCTCTACCTTGGTATAGTGGTTCCAACCAGAACGGATGAGGGAAAGCTTTCTCAAAATATCCTACAGTGTACTGATTAACTTGATCAACTGTGAAGTSAGGGACTGTGGGATAGATCTGATTAATACAGAAGATGGGTGTGGAAAGGGTCTTCTACAATCCGGATAAAAGCTATCATCCCTGATTCAGTGAGATGAAAAATACTGTTTCTCTCCTCACATTGTTTGCAATATTTATATTAATGTTTTTTTTCCCTCATTTATTTCAAAGTGGGTTTGTATTGAACTAAATTAGACCTCAGTTTTTTTCCATTTGAAGGGTTTAAGATAACCCCACAAACCTTGGCTGTGTCTGAGGACTCAATCTAAGATGGACTTGTAATTCATAATCTGATTTGTTGACTCTAAGAGGTTCCTGATCAGTGTTAATTGAAATTGGGTTACAGAAAGCATTTAGAAAGTTTAGAAACTTTGTAGATGGCAATCACTGTACTATTTCATGAATTACATGGAAAGAACCTATTATAATGAGTCATTATTTCAGTCTGATAGGGAAAAAATACAAGTGGAGCTATACACTAGGTTCAGCTCTGCATTTCTTTGAGATTAAAGAGTTTTCAGAAAAAAAATCAGTGAGTTGGTGCACTTCATGAAAGGCCTAAATGCTCAGTGTAAAAACTGACTAATTAGCTGCTCTCTAGTTTTTATAGTGCAAAATTGCTGATGCCTTCGGCAGTCTGCAGCAGACAGTGTAGATAGTGTTAGAGGTCTTCATTCACATAAAATATACAGAAATAAYAGCAAACTGGTACTTGCTACATGTAATATTTATTACTGTACACTGTACAGTTTGCATCTGTGTAGTAACCCCAGCTATTYTTGGTCTGCCTTGCTTATACTCTGGGTACTGTGCAAAAATACAGAGAACACACACTTCAGTGTTACTGGGATAAAGCCCTGGGATAGGGAATTGCCTTGGACTAACAGGGGCTGCCACAGGTGTCACAGCTTCGAGCCAGAGACACAGAAGGCAGTGACAGTGTGCTTTGTGCTCCCCCTCAGCTTTCGCTTAGACAATAATAAAAGTCCAGTCACCTGCAGCTCCCCAGGGGACTAGGGAAGTTAAAGGTCTTAAGTCACAGAGCAGGAGGATCTCATTCCATGCTAAAGCAGTGGAGAGACTGACATCAGCAGTTTCTCTGGCATTTAAAAACTGAAACTGTATTGAAGAATTCTCATGGGGAAAAAAACTATTAAAAAAATTAAAAATTAAAAAGCTCAGCAAATTTCCTCTACTGTACATGCTAATACATTACAGGGAAAAAAACCTATAGGTGTCTATACACTGGTAATATTTATGGGAACAAAGAGGTTCTTCAAGGAACAATTTTGTCTGTAATTTCTCTTGCACAGGCAGGGTTTGTGACAATGGCAGACTGAGAAGGACTTGGTGAGTCCCAGCCTGGTGCTTAGCTGTGATGGAACCCTTGAGACAAAGGGACCTGCTTTACAGGGAGAGTGGGCTAATTTAATTTCCACCCCATGCAAATTTTCTTGTCCCACCTGGAACTGAGTTAGTGATACAAGAAGGGGCAGCCTCCCTCCCTCCTTAGAGCTGCCTGGGGGRAAACACTCCATCCTTGGGTATTAGTGCCATGACTTCAGACACCACCATCTCCCCTGCTGCTGCACAGTTATAGAGAATACAAAAAATATGCTTGTAAGTTTGTGAGGTCTCGTAGAAGTACAGCCAGTACAAAACAGACCATGTTCAGTTAATATATTAAACTAGAAAGCCATGAAACTATAACTATCTCCACTCATGACCTCATAAACAAGACGTAAATAAGACAGAATTAACCCTGAGTTTAAAACCATTATCTCTTATATTACCCATATCCTTTCCAGCTGTCTTCTCCCACCTACCTGGAAGAACTTGCTGACCAGGGCCCTTTTATTTCCCTGCCCCCCCATCTTCAAACCAGAAATAATGCACCATTTCACATATGAGATGTGAAATGAGAGGACCATTCAACAGAGCTTATTTTCACAGAGGTAATGCAATGGCACTTAATGTGACATTGTAAATTTTGGCCTAAAGATGGAAGTTAAAATTAATAAAAATAGCTTCCTCACTTCCTATCAGTGGGTCATGGACTTTCTAGATGCTTAAGCAAGTGTAATCTCTTGTCATATTAAAATCTGTGTCTTTATTAGGAAACAAGGCAGATAAATAATCAATTTCATCYATCAATCAAGAAATTTTTCTATATGAATAGGTAAAACTTATGTACACAAGGCCCTACTGTGGCAGACCAAAAGTCCATCTGGTTCTGCAATCTTGCCAAGGGCTAGATTTTGCTTGTTCAATGCAGTATCAGATGTGGGATCTCAGTTTGAAATTTACTTACAGATCATTCCCAGATTTAAATAAAAAAAAAATAGCTATTCAGAAGGAAAATAAACCACAAAGCTACTTATTTGGTAAATACAAAACAAAAATGAAAATAGTATTTGTAGAAGTGAAGGTCTCTTCCATTTCAGGAAAGAGATGTCTTACTGATGTTTGATGAAAAAGAACAAATGAAATAATGGAAATTTGTATTTTGGGCAACTAATTAGTAAAAAAATAAATTAGTTCTAGGGATTTTATTTTCCACAGGGGAAAATTGTAAAGATGTGTCAGTGAGGACTGGCCTCCTTGTGCTGTTCTGCAGTGACTGGAGCTAAGATGCTGTGCTCTGTGCTGGAAGAGAGGAGCTGAGGAGTGACATGACACCTGCACAGCCAGGTTCACCCAAGCAGGAGCCAGCCCAGACTGGTCAGGTATTGGGCCAGTGTCTGCCACTTCCCAGCTGGTAAACATTTACCTAATTCTTAGGCTATTTGCAGGAATGAGAATTGCAGAGAGGTATGGAAACCTGAGGAGTCAGGCCCAGGACAAACATACTAAAAATATTTTTCTTGTGCATTAGTCCCTTGGAGACCTACACTTCAGATGGTTATTCAAGTTCCAACTATCCCAGCTGGCTAGAGCTTTTAGGTTAATCACAAATGAGAGGACCTCATCAGGAAATGTAAAGATAAGTGAAAAAGGGGAAAGAAATGGAGACTGTCACTGAATTTGGTGCGATACAAAAGAGGAAAGCCATTGTTCAGCCACTGCCCCCTGTCCTCAGATCATTGCAGGAAGCAGTACAGCCCTAATGAGAAGGGAATAAAGGTCTGCAAATCCCAGCCAGAGGCAGGATTTTCCTGCATGTGTATCCACTTAGCACTGCAGCTATGCTGACARCTTGTGCCCCAAATTCAGTAAATACTAACAACGTTCCCTTCCTCRCATTTTGAAAGAGAAATACACCTGCACAGGTTCCTGAGAGCAGAATCCTCTGCTGCTCTGGATACTGAAGCAGAATTCTGCCCCCCGGAGCAGTGCTTAAGCAATTCCCTAGTGCTAGTGAAGCAAGGATTGCCTCAGCGTGGAAAGGGATTTACTGCTTCTCCTGCCATGTGTCTCCAGATGTGCCCCTGTTAGGGGCTCTTTATAGACCTGCTCYGTGTGTAGTGCTGTCACAATGTCATTTGGCAGCTTTCCCTGCCCATGTGGCTGAGCTGACGTGTGCTGCTGGTGTTTCACATGTGAGCAGATGGGGAGCGTGAGACCAAGGAGGGTCGCTTCTCGCTCCACATCTCATTTTGCTCACAGTGGGGTTCATGCTATCTCTCTCTTTCCCCACCAGCTGCATGGAGTTCTCCTTTCTAGTTCTACCAGTGTAGGTCCTGGGGAGTAGCATCTGCACTGGCAATAGAGAAACATGAAAAGGGAGCCATTGAGGTTGCTTAGCAGACAGGAAGAGAAGTAATATTCTAAAAGGAAAAAACATCTTTATCTATCATACATTTCAACTCCAGCCCCTATATACATTTCATATTGATTTCTTATAAGCCACATAGGTACTGAAGTCGTTGCTGACTTGTTTGGTGGATTATTTGAGGTATTGGTGTCATGCTGCATAAATGGGTCAGTCAGCCTGACTGTGCTTAGCTCACACATGTGCACATAGCTTTGCAATTTTCCCTCCTAAATTCTCTAGAAGTAAAGTTGGAAGGACAACTCYATGTCAAACAGTTAATATTCTCAAATAGGGACTGAATGCTGGTTTTGTACTTTTAGATGTACTTGTTGACTCCAGCTGCTGTGTTGCCTTCTCGTACTCTGACTCCCTCGTCAGTTTATGTGTGTGGGGTTTCATTTTGCCTTCTGCATTGTTAGTAAAATTCTTAAATAGCTGCTATTGTTATGTCCAAAGTGCACTAATATAGCCAAAAAACCCCAATCTTCTTTAGAGTTTGGCCATGTGCTTCAAAATGTTGATGGGCAAGAATATATTGAAAATATTAAGGATCTCCTTTTCATTATTCAGACAAGCACCCCCTACTGACTTTTTTTCCCCCAATTTTCTTTAATCTCATTAGTGCAGGAAATATCTTCATATGCTGCAACTCTGAAAACTGACCTGTTAGGTGCAGGTTCCCAAATCAAAATCTGGCTAATGGMAATGCTGTTAACATTGTGTCTCAAAGAAACAGCTAGGCTCAGCTCTTGAATTATGACCCACAATGGATGATCCTTACATCAGTCTGTAAATCAAGTAAATCTGGAAATCTCCCATAAACAGTAATTATGGAATCCTACCATAGAGAGCTTAAGTAAAAGTGTACTCTGGAACAGTTAGAAAGGAATCTTTTGTAAATTGGAAAATAGCAAGTCCCTGCAGATCTAATAAGATGTGACAATTCTGTATTTGGGGCTGCAATGGTTTCTCTCTATTAAAAGTTTATTTTCTTAATCAGAGGACTTAATGTGATTCAGACTAAGCATTGAAGATCTCTTAAGGAAGGTGTATCTTCTAAGCTGTCACTTTTCCAACTTTATGGTAAATTAGAACTACTAATGCCTTGAAAAAGACCATTTGTTGTTGTTGTTGTCGTTGTTCAGATGGAGATTTCTCTGAGGCAGGGAGGGGAGTGAAGAAGAGGACCATCCAGAGAGTTCCTAATCAGTGTAGGGCTTTGGAGAAAAAAATATGCAAAGATCAGCAATATCCAGGGGGCAAATKATGTGGAATACAGAAAAAAAATTGTCATGATAGCTCACTGTCTCTAGGGAAAAATTCAAATAATACRTAGAAAAAAAATTAAACAAATCAGATCAAATAATAACTAGTTTTGGGCCTGATTGTAGGTCAACACTTCCTAGTTTATGTGATAACCATTCCTGAGATGCTAGAATTAGGTTGTGGTCCACCTAAAAATTTCAGAAATTATGACACTCCTAACTGATAATAGAAAATAATAATAAACAATTATTTCACAGATTTTATATTACAACAAGGGGTTATGCAGCTTTGCAGTGCAGTATTGGGTAAATTGTAACTCATGGTTTTAATATTTTAATTAAATGGGTTATGCAGTTCAGTACTAATGGGGACTTACACATGTTTACAGAAAGTAGCCAGGGCTGTACACCTATAAAATTAAGTACAAATAACTTATTGAAAGGCAAAAATAACCATATATTCAATCTTTTCTGATATTATGTCTAGCTGCAAAAGTCATGAATTGTCTAACAAAATTGTCTAACAAAACATTAATTTTGGACTTGCTGTTTTAAATTGTATTCCAAGGCTATATTGTAATTGTATTGTTGAGGCTTTTTTTACTATTTAAAAAGAGGAGATGTCTTACTATAACAGCTTAACTGATACTGTAGAGGAAAAACGTAATTTAGGGTTAACAAGTGTCAAGAAGCTGTGAATTTAATATAGGTAGAAAGTGTCAGACACAGGGAAGACAGAGTGCCAGGAAGGACACATTCCATCTTTCAGAGAAGCAAGTATTAATACTGTCAGTATGATATGGTGAACCTGATGGATGAGCAGTCTAACCCAATATGGCAAATCATGAGTTCTCTTTCCAATTATGTTGTAGAGGAAGTATGCATTCTAATTTGTTCAACTTGTATTTCAGAGCACAAAGAATAAAATAGTTATTCTTCCTTTGATGAAGACCCACTCTGATATATTGCATTTGAGCAAATGCTCAAGACCAACTTACAGATCCCTGTGAGCATAAATTAAATTGATAATTACAATAGATATTAAATTGTATAATTCCACTGAGTTATAATACTGCAGATGACTTAACAATTTATTGATATGGCAGAGTAAGTTCATTTACCATTTACTGCAGAAAATGAAGCATCTCACCATACTTACAGTCTTTCTTACTGTATTCTTCTTTAACTCAGTTTGATATTTCTGAATTGGGCACTTAAAATGAACAATATGATAAATGTAAGTATTAAATATCTAACCAGTGAGTTAGAGCCATTTTCTATTTAATGTTTTATGATATATTTGTGTTACATTGTCAGGGTATGCCTGTGATGTCAGCTTGCTGTGCCAGCTCTGCCTCTGTTAGATCAGAGCCACAGCAGGATGGCCCTTGGAGAGCTAATTCCCTTTATGTGGGTGTAGGAGAGCTAATTCCCGTTCTGTGGTTGCTGTCTGGCTCAGATAAAGCTCAAATCTGCCTGAAATATTCCAGAGTGACTTACTTTACACCATCTTATTCACACTGTAGACCTAGCTCTTGTGGGACAGTCATTATGCCTTATTAAAAGAACTTGTTAGAAATTGAAACGACATCCTTGCAACAGGAAGAATGATAAGGAAAACAACAATATGGAAATCTAGCACCTTCAAAGCCATGCTATGCAGTCACATGTAATACACCTGAACAATGTTCCTTATAAATTGTAAATATGGTCTCAGCAAACCTACAGCTGGGCTCATGACAAAGCTGCTKTCCTACCTATATATAATCTGTCTCTTACTTTCTTACCGTAACTTGAAAGTAGCTTTTCTGTCCCCTGTGACAGAGCTACCTCAGCTGGCACATTCATCTTTGCAGCACAAGGCACTCTTGCTTGCGGTAGCCTTTTCAAGTTCTGGGTGTGACTGACAGCAAAAACCTGAGCATCAGTTTCTCATCAGCCAAAACCAATCTCATTCAAAGATGTCCTTCAAATTTGCTGTCTTGTTCTGTGAAACAATCTGGCTGGCAGTTCAGGTGTTCAAGTGCGAGGACTTTCTGTGGTTTAAGATTTGACAGACTCCAGTTGGTGCCCCTAGTTATTTGAGGGTGATGTGGCAACACTGAGTGGTTGCTGATGAACAGGATTGCAGTGATCATGCCTCTGTTTTCTGTTTTTGTTTTTTGTTTTTATCTTTTCCTCAGGGGAAATCGCTCACATCAAAGAGGTTAACCAGTCTAGTGCAGTCCTACTAAAAGGATCACCTTGTAGCATGGAAGCAGACTCAAATCATTATACATACTTTGTAGCTCACTGATTGCCTGACTCAGAGGACAGTAGAACAAGATGTTGCATGAGAAAGGACCTGACTTGTTTTCTTTTGTGTATACTAAGGCATTACAGACTCCGAGGGACTCTCTAGCCTTTCGATGCCTCCATTTCGAAAACTGTCTGCTCACTTCCTCCTTCATATCAAGCTGGATCTGTGTCTTTTTATTTTCTGCAAGCTCAAGTACAGTGAAAAAAAAGCTTCTGCTAGGCACAGTTTATTAAAAAAATAAGTCAATCAAAAACTGGAAGAAATGTAAAAAATGCATATATTAATAAATATACATATGGCATCACATTTATTGCACAATAAATTAGCACAGAAGGTTTCATTTCACTGATGTATTCACATTGAGAAAGAAGGCCTGTGTCTTTGTCTGTTGTCTGTATATTATCTGTTAATGTTTCTTGCATTTATTTTTATACCATATTTAAAAAAAGAACACCTTTTACTCCAGATGTATTAAAGTTGATCCTTTCTCTGTAAATTTGTGTATGTTTATATTGTTGTTTTATCTTTCATTAAAAGATGCAGAATCTCTTTCCTTTGGGAAGTTTGAGATTTTAATATTGAATCTGAAGATTAGTCGAGAGCAAAATGATCCCCCAAAGTTGCACACCTTTCTAAACAGTGACATGAAACGGCATTTTCTTTCTCTCAGTGACACCTAATCAAACACACTTTTTTGATAAACATTTACTTTTTCTTTTCTTTTTATCAAGCTAGCAGCAGAGAGACCTTTCCAGCTTGCTCATCATCACATAAGCAAACCTTCCTCTAAGCTAGCCCCGTTCTCTAACAGTGCATAGTGGTGCAGTCGCTAGCCCTGACCAGATTGACTGAACTGCACTTCCTTAGGAAGGGACATGAACAAAGCTGGCTGAGAACACAAGGGTACACTTGCTAAATAGGAAGGACAGTGTTTTTTTCTCCTTGCTGTCACTTGTGACACAAGGCAACATTTCAAGCTGAAAAGGTAGTGGTTTGGGAGTGCTAAGTACACAGTCTGTGGAGTTAACCTCCAGTAGAAATGCAGGAGGAGGGTGGCACTTTAATTCCAGGGCTCTGTTGGGATGTGCTGTTGTGTGTCCACTGCTGAGGTTACTCACAGAGACCTGTTGACAGATTTACGAGCATGTGTTGATGTTGCCTGTGAGACAGGAGATATGGAGCTTCTAAAGCTAATATCTGAGCTAGGACCAGAAATCTCTGCTTGGCCTAGGAAACAACACTGTTGAGTGGCAGAGGTGATGTAAGGATAGACAGAATCCCAAAGTAGAAAAGCAAGGATGGGAACTAAGTCAAATGACAAAATGCTGATATCTCCAAGGTATGGTAGAGTGCACAGGACATACAAGCCTTTTTAGCAATGAACAGAATTGACTCAGGACAGCCAGCTCTAGTGCCATCTGTCATGCTGACTTTGGTTTGATATTGAGAATCTTGTTCCAAAGGGACTACGAATCCTAAATGCTAAGTGGGGCAGTCATAGATACAAGCAGACAATCAATTTGAATGCATTAACACCAGAGTCATCTCATTTAGCATTGGAAAACCACTTGCCTTGATCCTGCTAGGGACAGTTGCACACAGCAGCTCTGGGCAGAAGGGAGCTGAGCTGCCTTCAGCAGGGAGCACTCTTCTCCACTGGCTCTGTCAGTAGTCGGGTGCAGCCATAGCCAAGAATTTAGTATCCTTAAAGAGGGAGTCCGAACAAAATGCATTATAAATCCATGAGAGGTTGTTCCCCATATTGTGCTCAGTTGAGCTTTCTTGGGGTTTGGGGTTTCTGTTCAATGTTTCAAATACCACTGCTCTTCTGGTTTCTAGCTAGGATGATAATTACTGATTCAAAAGGTCTCTGTTTTTGTTAGCACAATTCTACTATGCTTTTACCGAAACGCCCCATCAGAGCTGGGTCTTAACAAGATCTTACCATGAGCTCCATACAGGTCAACTCAAAATATTCACAGTCTAGGGAGGTCAGATGAATTTTATCAAGCAGTCACACTGAATCCCAGATCTTAAACTGAGATTWAATTTTACCACAGAAATGTGAGCTCTGAGACATGAGCTTGGGGCCAGGCAATCCACAGAAACCTGAGCTCTGCTTCACTTCTCAGTGCCAAATAGAGATATTTATTTCCAAACTCCTGCTGCCACCAATTGCATCAACTGGTATATTGCCACCTTTGCCTTTCTAGTTAACTAATGAGATACCACTGCCTGCTTCAAAGAATCACTTCCTTCAAACACCTAATGTTTCAAATTCAAGCATTAGGCATTTCATGGAACATCATGCTAAGAATTTTTCTTTAAATTCCAAAATCACTTTGCAGCACCAACTGGTCAGTAAAAAGTCATGTAGTATTTAGCATTTGTACTCCTGAACCCATTCTGTGCTTATTCTTGTTCTTTCCTGTCAAGGTTTAACTCCAGCTGGCAACTAAGCACCACGTAGCTGGTTGTTCTGTTCCTCCAGTGGGATTGGGAGGAGAAGAGGAAAACATCACGGGCTAATATAAGAAAAATTTAATGATTAAAAGAATTCATATTAATAATAACAGTAATCATGATGAAAATGAGAGCAAGAGAGGRAGGAATAAAACCCAAGACAGACAAGTGATGCACAGTGCAATTGCTGACCACTGGCTGATCAATGTCCAGCCTGTCCCCAAACAGCAACTGGCCCCTCTTGGCCAACTCCTCCAGTTTCTGTGCTGAGCATGGTGTTCCATGGTATGGAAAATCCTGCTGGGCAGCTCGGKTCAGCTGTCCTCATGATGCTCCCTCTCAGCCTCTTGTGCACCTGCTCACTGAGGAGCATGGGGAGCATGGCAAGTCCTTCAGATTGGGTCAGTCCTGCTCAGCAACACTGAAAGCATCAATGTCTTATCAACATTATTGTCATATTAAATACAAACCATAGCACTGCACCAGCTACTAGCAAGAAAGTGAAATCTATCCCAGGTGAATCCAGGGCATTTCCTTTCAGGAAATACGAAGTCGGTATTGAATGGCTGCCTTTCCCTGTATTTGCACAGGATTTAACATGATGTCTCCAAAGTGAAAAGAGGCATTACTAACAAGGATTTCAAAGTAGTCAGCAAGCTGTGTTAAGGTTTCATTTGAGCTTGGTTTCTAGCGATACAACTYCACTTTTACATATGAGTGAATGTGGCCCAAACAAAACCAATCCTACAACTAGGTGATTTTTAAAAGGTTTATCTGCAATCTTCTGTTACTTCACCTCATCATTGTCATCTGCCAATGATACAATACCAAGACTGGAAACCTGAAGCAGACACAAATTTCCTTTTGCTTCCCCACAGAGAAAAGCTAAATATTTGTTTCCTAATTTATCCTAAGATCCGCTTCAAGAATTCAAATTAAGGCATGTTTGTACAATAACCGAACAGCTGCAGTATGACTTTGGTTACACAACAATTTACCAATTAAGAATGTCAGTGAGGCCACAAATCTGCTGAGAAAAAAAGGACCAAGACAGAAAATCACTCTGAAGGGACCATATTTCTTTTTTTCTAGGGAAGAGCCATCAGTCAGTGCCTCCTGGCTTTGCCCAAGAAGCTTTAAACACCCTCATGTGGGATCTTAAATGCAATATTCCTTAAAATAACCAGCTGGAGCTCAGAACTTTCATCTGAGAATTGGGGTTCATCAGGCAGTCTCTTTCCCCAAACATCCTTGTACATAAGACAGCTCTAAAGACCAGCCCCTGAAGGAAAATAGTTGGTGGGAGAGGCAGAAGCAACCCTGGCACCTACCTGATGACAGCAAAATATTCACCCATTCTTCTGTAAGAAGTAAAAACTTACCTTCAACCCTACAAAACCAAAGAGGGAAAAAAGGGGCCTTAAAACAGTGATGAGAGAAACTGCAAAATGCTGAGCTGAAAAAGTGGTGGAGACTGGCCAAAAATTAATGACTTGAAGGTGAATACAAGACTAAGAAATGGGAATTAATTGTGGTGACCAGAACAGAACTGACAAGGGAGGAGAACTGGACAGATAAATAATTAGGAACAAGAGAGGCGGAATGCAGCTGGTGGATTGCCAGCCTGTTGGCCACAGCCATGCTGAGTTGGAATAAAAATCTGAAAAATCAGGCAAGATCAACTGTGACCAGTGTGTTAAAATCCAACATTTTTTTTTTTTAATCTAGAAAGCAGCACACCTAATATTGTCTGAAACCATGAGACATGAATGCCAGGTAGTCTCCTAAGAAACAAAAAATAGGAGAACAAGCTCCAGAAAATAAAACCTATAAGAATGAATTTAGGATGTCTATTTAATTAAAAAAAAAAAAAATTAAAGCCAAAGCAGACCACTAAAGTGAGAGAAGGCCAGTTTTGATACATAATTGGAATTAGGAGTTGCAAAAGTCAGTGATTTATATGTGGCTCTTCTAAATATTTACTTTTATGCATAGTGAATAACAGCTCTTTGAATTTAGGTTTTAAAACTGACAGATTTTTTTGTCTCTTCTAGCTATAGATATTATGCATGGAACTAACGCTGGACTTCTTATAGTATGTGCATAATACTGGACTTATTGTAACAGGTGCATAAAACACAGTAATTTTGCTAAAAGAATTTTAATAGCTACAGGGTTTAAAGAAAATAAGGTTTTAATCCCAGCATATKCAAGGGAAATTCTCAGCAAATTATTTGAACATTTTCTGTGTCCACAATTCATTTAAGCAAGTTGCTAAGTGGCTGTGACTCACACCAGTCTGCCTTTTAATCTGACTATGCTGAACAGATTGCTTTTGTCTCCTGTGAGTTGAAGACATGTTGAAGTCCCAACTTATTAAAAAGGTGAAGAGAAAGAGAGGATGAGTTATCTGAGGCTGGATTCCCCTCCTCATGCTCTTGCAGACTGTGGAGTCCTCAAGTGACATGTGTACAGCTCAATGTGTTTTGTTTGTATAGAGATCAACTTGAGGGCTGCAGATCGTCATTACCTCTGAAACTACAAAGTTTTGTTTCCCTAATATCTAAAAAGAATCCTCTTTGCTTTGATTTACCCCTTCATTCTTGATCAGGCTGCTGAAGTCACTACAATAATATATTCCCAACATAAATGGACATTGCAACGTTTCAGCCTCCTTTAGTTTCCTTAGTGGTCATTTTCTGAACTGTTGAGTGACTTTATTACTCTCCTCTGTGACAGAGGGTCTTACAACTTTCTTGGAGGATGGTGCTTGCAGGACTCCCACCAAGGTTTTACAGGAGGAGGGCAGAGGATTACTATTGTATTTCTGCCTGTACACACAACTACAGGACCTGTCCTTTTTGCAGTAGATGGCCACTACTGAACTATGCCAGCTTATGTGACACAGTGATGCCCAGATCCTTTGCAGTCCAGCTCCCCTTTGTGCATAGCTGACTTTTCTGCAGTCAATGAGGCATCTTGAGCTGTCATTTGAACAGCATCCTCATTTTTCAGACCATCTTTCTCTTTTCCCAAAATATTTTGTTTATTTTTTTTTATTCCTCCTGTGCATTA